GCATGATAATGGTGCTCCATAATTTACAGTATTACCTGCATTTCCCATCAGGATACAACATTCAAACGGTATGATAATGGGATTAGTAGATCGTCCAAGGAGCCAGCAGCATTGTTTGCTTGACTTCTTATTCTGGATGGATGAGCTTGTGCTAGATTTCTGGTGAGTGACACTTGCTAGAATGTAACTGTAGGTGTTCTATTATTCAATGTATTAGAAACAATCGACAGTTTGGCTATCAAGATCAGCCCATTTCTTCTGTATGACGTTCAAGGCGTCCTCCCTGTAGCCCTCTGTGCTAGTTTTATATGCTTTGACAGTATCTTCAAATGCCTGAGCAACTGTCATTGATGTATATATAGTCCACTCCATTTTATTTTCCGAAAAACTGTAGTTGTTCTTTGTCTTCTCTTTTTCTTAGAGAGAGGTGAAGTTGTGTAAGTATTGCATCCTCTATGCAGAATTTGGCACCTATTTCAAGATTTTAATTTTTCATGATTTTACATGAGGATTTGGATTTGAGCAAGTGTCTTTTTCTTTTTTGAGATTCATTGCTTACTTCTATCTTTCCTTTGCAAATGTCTCAATAATGCTCCGTACTACAGTAGAGAAATTTCTATTGCAAATTAAAGAACCTTAAACATCACAAGAAGAGACGGACCCAGAATTTTTACACGACAGGGGCACAATATTCTGCTCATCCAGTGCCCCCTAAAGGCTTTTAATGTTCAGGGTGCCAAGCGCTTTAAATTAACCATTTTCAAGGTATATAAATATACATATACAAGATTTCTTGCGAAGCTTACGAGGTCCGATGATCCCTCACTATAACCTATGTTGCTCGGACTCTCCGAAAATGTGGCAGGATACGTGTCGGATCCTCCAAAAGTAGTGCATTTTTGAAGGATCCGACACAGGTGCGGCTACATTTTGAAGAGTCCGCGCAACATAGACTATAACACATAGGTTCACCTCTAATTACAAGATTCTAACACTTAAAAACTTGAGTCTCGGTAAAAGAGATAACTGTTAGCTTTGCGAACTGCAGTAGCTTGGCGTACTCGCGGATTTGCCTTTGCATATATGTTTTCTTCCTTTAACATTTGAGGTAAGGATAGTCTAAGACCATATAAATAAATAACAACTCATTTACTCAACTAATGTGAGATATTCTAACATTTGTGAAAGCTTTGAACACGTTTGCATTGTGTATATTGTGTTAGGTACAGGTATAAGTTAATGAGGTGTCTTGGGTCTATTGAATTTAAACTTTTAATTTTGGGCAACATTTTAAAGATAACAAACAACATATAATTATTGTTAACATATTAAAAGATGCCAGCTTAAAGTAATAGCTACCTGATTAAACAACGGATTTTCAGTAATATGCATTTTATGCATTTCAATGTGCTAAATACTAATGAGAAATCAATGAGAAAAGGCCAATTAGAATTTACCATAAGTTGAGGGGCTGATGTGTATCGAATATAAGTTTGTAACTGATCGAATCTGTTAAGTAGTTAGCTGTGTTAGTGGTAGTTAGCTAAGCTCACACAATGTATAACGGAATCTCTCTTCCTCTACATTCTTTCTACTCAAACCGTTGTTCATTTACTTTTTTTTTTTTTTTTTTATTATGTTGTAAATTAGATAGAAAACTGGCGGAGGAGTTTTTTTTTTTTAATTTTTTTTATTTTATAAATAGAATTTCCCAGATTTTCTGGGGTGTTTTATTTATTTCCAAAAGATAGGAGGGGGATGTGATCCTTACCTCCAAGGATTACAACACAGTAACATATTATAAAAGCACGAATGTTAGAACGTTAAATGTCAAGCGACAAAAATACCGTCGAAACATTGATCGACATTTATACCCTTTATTATTTATATATTAATTTTCATAAGTAATCATAAGAAAAGGGCACAATTGAAAATACAACACTACAATTTAAGTTCTACATCAACACGAATATTATCTAGGGATAGAATTCCTTTTCAATTTAAAGTCAAGTTAATAGTAAATAGAGGGTAAAAACTTATCCGCACCAGGTGTTTACCCTCTTAAATACTTAAATACTTAAATTCTCATCTAAACCCTCTTAAATATTTCTTATGAATATTTAACATAATAATCGTTTTCTTCTTGGTATTGCTATCTCATTATTTTCTATATGGTATCAGTCTTACGACAGTCAAATTGGTATTGCGCATAAATTCAAGTTTTTCCGCAGCAAAAACGAAAGTCAGTCAAATTATAATATTTAACATAATAACCTTATAATATTTAACATAATAATCTTCAGAGAAATGGTATAAACGAAATACTGCACTTAATCCTATTAATTTTAGAATATCCATGTTAGGCCAACTTTTATGACATACACGTTTGGCAATATTTACTACTATTAATTTAATCATATTAATATTTTGACATGGACAACGAGCAGTAGGAGTGTCAATGGTTCGGTTCGGTTCGTATGTACGCATACCTTACCCTTACCTGGCGAGGTAGAGGCTGTATCCAATAGACCATCGACAATATTAATATAGGTACTTTATAGGACATAACAAAACTCTCTAGAAATTTTTATTTTTTAAAGGGTGATGAATTAAGAAAAGATGAAAGATAGTCAGGGTATAGATCCATCAATTATTCAACAGCAGCACAAAAGAAACTAAGTAAATAGAAAGAAAATATAAATAACAAGAGTGGAAAGATATTAATCAAGGTGGGATTCAAGAGAAGATTAAATATTCAAAAGATAAATCTAAATCATATGAAAGGAAACATATACGATACATTGTAGTTTGCTACTCATAATCGCAAGAATATACCTCCTTGTGTCTTGCTAGTGAATATGCTGCAAATAATATAGTTTCAATAGGAGTAAGATAATAGGTTTGTGAATTAAAATTTTGAGTTTTTATTACTTGTTGGCTTGTAACCATTTTCATAATTCCAAGTCCCAAAGAAAACTTCATGCTTTATTATTTTTAAACTTAATATATAAATATATTTTCTATAATAACTTTATTCGGTACGGTTTGGTATTTTTTCGCTTTATTTTTGTAAAATTAAAAACCTACCTTAATTAACGGTACGATTATATATTTATATAAAAACCTACGGTTTTATTAAAAGAAACCTAAAAATTGGCTCGGTACTGTACAATTCAATCGGTTTAGTCGGTTTTTAAATATCCATTGACACCCCTAACGAGCAACATCAATATTATTATGAATAAGTTGATCTCCTTTTCCCTTTTCTATTCGAGTGGGGAGTTCTTTGAGGGGGGATGTCGAGGGTCTATCGGAAACAGCCTCTCTACCCCAGGGTAGGGGTAAGGTCTGTGTACCAACTATCCACCCTAAACCCACTAGTTGAATTATACTGGGTTTTGTATATATATACTTACCAAATATTATTCATAAATTTTTTGTAGTATTAACAAACTACAAGCAATAATCAAAACAAATAACTAAGAAAGTATTAAGATTATAAATGTATGGGAGAGAGGAAGAAAAATAGTTGGTAAGAATTAATAATACTAGTATTTCTACGATCATAAAGATCCAAAAGTGGAGTATCAAAACGTATAGTTATAGAAATGGTGGAGGACTATTATTGAAAATCTTAATATTTGCTGATTGATAACTTATTGTACATAATTTAAGTTATATACAACAACATTTAATTTTTTTTTTAAATTGTATCGTGTAATGTTTTTAAAGAATATTTTACCTTCTTATTTAGAATTAAATTAATTTAATTTCAAGATTCTTATTTGATTCTAATTTGCAGTCATATATTTATGCGTTAGTTTAGAAAAATACAAAATTTTAAAATCTTTATTTGTTTCTTAAACTTAATACTCTATCAAATAAATTGGTACGAAACGAGTGTTTGTATAAAATTCAATTTAATCACCTTAGTAAAATTATTAGTACTGCATATAAACAAGGATATACTATAACGGATCACTTACCGTAAACTGTAATTACAACTCAAATAATCACCATTTCTGTAACTACCTAACCACTAATCTCTCTCTCTCTCTCTATATATATATATATATAGTTGTTCTAACTTCTAACTTCTAAGAATAGTTTCAGTTTTATTTTCCAAAAAAAAAATCAATATGGCTAGAAGGACATATGCCATGAAAGGACGACAAGCTTGGATTAACTTCACTCCGCGAAAAGCACAATTGAAAGTGAAGATATTTAGCCCTTTTCGTCTTTTTTTCTTTAATTTTGATCGTAATTTTCTTGTACGTTGGGTTATTTTTTGTTTAAGTTTACATTTTTTTTCTTTCTATTTTGTGTTCTTTTTTTTTTTTTTTCGCTTCATTTTTCTAGTTTTTCTCTCTCTTTTTTCCACTTCGTTTTTAGCAATGTCTTTGTCTTTGAGGAAGTTTATGGTTCTAGATGATTCTACTGCTGGTTCTAATCAGAAACCAGAGCAAAATTCAAAAGCTGTGAGTAAAGAAAAATTAAAGTAGAATTCATATTTATTTTTCTGTTTTATTATACCTTTATTTTCTTGACTGTATTGATTTATTTCCTGGTAACAGAATGCATGGATATGCATAGGAACATGCGTTTGGAAACGAGAAGATCTGGATAAAGCTAGACGTTTCTTCAGATCTAGCCTTGAACAGGTGAATTGATTCGATATTGTGTGTGTGTGTGTGTGTCGGTATTAGTGAGTTTGTGCATTAGTTTGTATGTGTGTGTATGTTTGTTTGAACTGATTCAGTATTCTAACGTCTAATTATTATTTTTGCTTTTCTATTAACTGTTGATTAACGTAATCAAAATTGGAACATAGCTTAAGTTGAATCGCTATGTGGTGGAAGCTTGGATAAGTTGCTCCAAATTTTGCCTTGAACAAGTCATTTTATATGTTGCTTCTTGGATTTTAATTACAAGTTCCATTAGTTATCAATTTAGTCCAGAAACTGTGATGCATATATTTGTATTTGTTGTGTTCAGGATCCAAAGAACAGGAAGCTATTATGTCAATTATCAGTGCTTGAAAGAAGCCAGTGCATAGGTGAAACAGGTGAAATTTTGTGGCGATATATGATTATTCTTTTATTTGTACATTTGGAACTTCTAGCAATTTGAATTTTGAACCTTAATCATGGGATGTTCTTCTATAGAAAGACTATATTCACATAATCACATTTTTCCTAAGTGTCATAGCATTATCTGACTGTATTCTACTTTCCAGAGGTTGAAAATCCAGAAGAAATAACAGGTGAAAGTATCAAACATGCCAAGGAAGCAATTGCTCTGGATGTCCAGGATGGAATATCATGGTGTAAGACTGCATTTTATGCTCCTTGGATATATTTATTTGTATTTGATGCATATGTAGCAGTTCCTGAGAACTTATATATAATGCTTTAAGGAAGAATGATAAGTTTCTTAGTCCATGTCAGGATTAATGATTTCCTACTAACCTGTGAGCTGCACTAGTCTATGATTAACTGTCTTCTTTGTTTTGTTCAAATCGAGTGCTGAAAATTGTGTTTATCAACTATGCCGTGATGTCTGAATGTCCAATAAGCATGTCTTTTTGCTCTTAATCTTATCTAATTTGTCACATTATATTAAAGGAAGAAGTGGATTTCTTCTCATGTGATACATATTTGCTAGTATACTCACCTTATTATGAGGGGTGCGATACGTTCTTGTATTTCACTTGTAAGCTCAGTTATATCAGTATTTTACTTCAGTTGGTTTTTGTAATTGATATCACAAGATCAGTTTTCTGTTACATCTATATGACTGGAACTTTGGATCATAATATGCTTCTTCAGTCAACTAAAGCATACAAGAATTCTGTGAGTACTGCAATACTCTGCAGTCTCTCTCTTATCATTTTTCTCATGGAGTTCAGGATTGTTTATAGACTGTTTTGTAGTTTCTGTCTTTGGTCTATATTTCTTACTCAGAGCCTCCTCAAATTTTGTGTTCTGTTTCAGGCGAAAGACCAAAAGATGACGCACAGTGCTGAATTGTGGTACAACTGCTCCATGGTAAGAATTATGGATAAGTGTCCATACACATATCTACATTTTAGCCTTATCATACAACTTATAAATAGGCTCATGATTGCAAACAGAGCATCAGAAATCCTTGCTTCTAACACGCCTCTCTTCTTTCTATGGTTTCCAATACAATTTTAGTTGAGTTTCTTCTTATAATAGGCGCTTGAAGCTTGAGCATGTTTATGCTTAGTCCTGGAAGACCAAGAGTTTATATTTTCTTCACCGTGACATTTCATGTCCGCTTATATATGTCTGCTTATTTTCGCTTGCCTCATTTTCAAAAATTCAATGCCATGTTTTTGTGATTCTATAATTTCGATTATACACAGGCATACAAGTTTCTTGAGAACGCCCTCACTGGACTGATAATGGATCCTAATCTTAAATCTCTAGAGTGGACATTGAATCTGTGTGATGTTCTCGACTATATAAACTCTTTGCTTCAGGTAAGATTGTTTACTTGTGGCTATTTAGATAAAACTATCTGCAGTCGTATTTTACTTGATCAGGTGGTGTCATTAAGAATGTAATTAGATTTCTTAGGGAATTATGTTTAAGTCTCAGCAAAAAATATCAGGTTAAAACAGTTAGTTAAGGTGTGCCATAAATAGATTTTTATGCATATTCTCAGAAAACATTACCCTGTCTTTCAGAAACTGAATGATGCTAAGCAGCTTTCTTCTCCAACATCATCACCACTTGCTTCTGTTGAACGTAAGCTTTATATATGGATTTTAAGATATTTATCCAAAAACAGTCTGGTATTGAATTAAGCTTCTAATCCTTAAATAATTTTTGTAGTGGATCCTTCCTATGAGAGAGCTAATGTCAATCGCCTAACTGAAGGTCTTAATGAAGGAAAAGCAGTCACAGCAGTTAAGAATCTGAGCAAAGGTAAACTTGGATCATTGTACTATCTTTGTTTTTTTCCCCTTTGCTTTCATTGCTACGCTGCTTATTCCATTTTATCTCAAAAGATTGGTCAATTCAAAAGTTATACTATATGTTGGTTTATATTTCAACGTTTCATGTGTCAGCTCCACTTTATATGATCTCTTAATTTTGTGGTGTCATTCCCTCTTATAATGTTGTAATAGTATTACTAGGTTGGCCAGCTACATTTTAGATGCAAAGTTAGCAACTAATCACCTTTTCTCCAATTGCCAAAACCAGACTATGGCCACAACAATAATGGAAAAACGTTGGCCGAAATTTCTACCAATTGAGAATTCAGAAGAAGTGATTAGCACTTTGCGATAGCAAGCATGATAGTCATTGTTGAAGTCTTTGTGTTCCCCAAGTGATTACACTCTATTCACATGTTAGTTTTTTTTTTATTGCAGCACTCTCAGTCCAAATGAGTGGATTTTCTGCAACTTGGAGCAGCTGTCTCTCATGAACATGCTAATCATCCATCTCATGGAAGGATAATGAGTTTCTGTTCATTTCTACTTGTCTAGAATAATACTGGTCGTCAACTGTGATGGATTTCAAATGTAAATAGTAGTAAAAGAAACAAAACTTATCAAATCTGTTGAATGCTAATCAATACTTCACACCAGTAAAGCAATATGCATTAATTCTACAGCTGTCGAATCAATCATCTTTAATTCTTGAATGTTTGTCAGTTACTTTAGCTCATTATGCTGACATGAGATGAGCTCTTCTTTTTGATAGAACAGAACGCTCTTCTCAGCACACTCATCTTGTGTGCAAATACATAAATATATATACAGGAGTTTCTTGGAGAATAAGACTCCAAAATAGTCACTTGTTAGGACTCCTAATGAGATAACAATTACACCAATTCTATCCAAATACACTTCAACAATTCCTACCTGACATTATCCTTACATACCCCCTCAAGTTGAGCAGGGTGTGGAACAACTGTCAACTTGCTCTTCAAGTCCAGGAATCGGACCTTCGACAAAGGCTTGGTGAGCGCATCGGCCACTTGATCATGAGAACTCACATACCTGACCGACAAGGACTTTGCACGAACCTTGTCACGAACAAAATGAAAATCGATTTCCATATGTTTCGTCCGAGAATAAAAAATGGGATTAGCAGTTAAGTAGGTTGCACTAAGATTATCACACCAGAGAATGGGAATAGAGGAGGTGAAGCAGCCAATCTCTCGAAGGAGAAGCTCGACCCATGTTTCTCAGATGTAGCAGCAGCTAATGCACGATATTCAGCCTCTGTGCTCGACCGCGATACAGATTTTTGCTTCCGAGAAGCCCATGAAATCAAATGGGAGCCAAGAAAACTGGTAAATCCAGTGGTGGACTTGCGATCATCAATATCACCTCCCCAATCCGAATCACTATAACCATGAAGCAAGGTAGAGGATCCATGAGAAAGAAATAAACCATGAGAGGCAGTAGCCTTGACATAGCGGAGAATACGTTTGACGGCAATCCAATGAGAATCCATAGGACAATGCATAAACTGTGATACTTTGTTTACCCACTACAAAAAAAGGGCCTGTTATTTTTAAGGTTTGCGGCGGTTTAAAACCCCCGTAATACGTTGTTGTGGCAGTCATTAAAACCCCCCACAATAAGAGTCGTCGCAATTTATTTGCGGCAGTTATTTGCTGACCGCCAAAACTAAGTAGCGGGGTTACTTCGCGGCGGTTGACCCCCGCAGATTTAGAACTTAAATTTGTTAAAAATACTTTTCAGTTACGAATTGCAGCGGTTGTAAACCTCCGCAATATATTTTTTTTATTAATTTATACTTAAAGCTCCTGTCAGCCATAACCTCAAGAATTTATTGAATTTTTTAATTCATATATTATTAACAAAATTACTAATTAAACTGTAAATCATAATCAAAGCAAAAAAATATATATCTAAAAGTTAAAAGATATCGATAACATGTCATAAAATCACAAAACGTTATCATAAAATATCATTAGTCTTTAAAACTAAATTGTCAACATTAAGTAGCATCACTCAAAAACTATTTTAAACACAAAACATTCACTCCAACATTCTAACATCAGCTTCAACCACACAATATTACATCGTCACAATTAATTATCTAAGACAATTATAATGAAATCAACGATTGCCGCTAGAGTTACTATCACCACATGATCTTCTTGCGTCCATTGGCGAAAGGGGTCCACTGTCCGTTGCACTTGGCTGCATAAAAAACAAAGGATAAAAATCATGCCAGAATCAGAAATTGAAGTAAAAAGCAAATAAGTGCAACTCTTCAAGCTTCCTTTGTACTTAAAACTCAAATTTAGATCAACATTGCAGTCTTTTTTTTTAAATTGGACAGAGAAAAAAGATGTTTGTGCATCCCATTAGAAAGTGAGAGTAATTCATGCTAGAATTAGAAAAAAAAAAATATAATAGAGAGAGAGAGAGGAGTTATACAAAGAAAACAGATACAACATACAAGAATTGTACTAATCTAAGCCACTCTATCTTTGCAAATAGACAAATTAAAATTTGAAGAACTTTACTTACCGTTGTAGGAGAAACCGTCGAAGGAGAAGCAAAGAACCCTGCAAACTGTTCTGGTATAGTCCCTTCTTTCATTATCATATATGCCTTGAAAGCGTTCATCAAATTCATCATTTGATTATGGTTATGTTGACATTGGGACGAACATGAACCTTCAGTACTTGAAGAACTTGTACCACCAAAACGAGGTCTTACTTGTTTAAAAACTCTACTAGGGACAGGGCCTAATCCCAAACACCTCACCCTTCCAGAGTGCTCTTTTCCTAGCACCTTACCAACGACATCATTTGGCAAAATTTGAGACTCGTCTATTGTGCTTTGGCTCAAAGCTAACTCATTTTTTTCCTACACATACAAAACTCATTGTCACAACTAAACTAACAGGAATGCATGAAAAAGCAATTGATTTAAGCCAACTGCCAACCGACCTTTCAAGTTATTTGATGCTGAGTCAAAGTGACAAAGGCAGAAAAAAGGAAGAGTGCAAGTGCTTCATTCTTAGAAGAACATATGGTAGTGATGGCTACTACATATAATGCAAAAAGATAGATACTGATTCCAAAAACAGAAACACAACACTGTCCAGTTTTTCCAATTATCAAATACATCTATAACTGAGTGAACATCTCACAAAACACCCAGAATATGCTCCGTAGAATATAAATTTAGAACTATGTCCTGGCCAATTCCGACAGACCATTATGAAAACCAGATAGCGGAGGAGCTTTTACAATATCATCGATATGGGGTATAGTTAGATAGAAAACGGGCCTTTCTACCACAGATTCTAAGATATGGCACAAGTTAATCTATTTTAAACACCTGTAAAGTGACTCATGATAGGCTACCTATAGATGAGAGAGTCTCCAAGATGGAATATTTTTTGGTGGCTAAATGTTACTACTGCAGCCCACCATCTCCTGAAATTACGGAGCATTTATTTTTCTCAAGAACCTTTGTGAAAACAATGACTTATGTGCACCTTTTGATGCTGCTTTCAGGGATACTCAATTATCAAAGTTGTTGTATTTCTGGAGGAGTCTGAGAGTTATGAACACAATGACTTCTTGTATAACCAAGGTGTTGTCCCAAGTTGTAATGTGAGAATTGTAGAGGTATAAGATATGCTAAAGGAACGTCATATCCTACCTAATCACCTTTCCCCAATACTTCTTTGGCCTACGTCTACCTCTCCCTTTTCCAATTTCGAGGAAATAGCAAATACTCGTGAAGAAGATGGATTGTTGCAATAGATTCTCTTAGGTAACTTTGCCATTCATCAATTAAACCTAGTAATCAGAAGGCGACAGCATAAAAGTATTCACAAGATATGCCTTCATTATACTTTTTTTTGGTTATAAAAAAAATCCATCAAAGGAGAACAAACACTCAAAATTGATTACATTCCAATAAAAGTAGAATTTTGATCCATCCAATTTCTAGAAGCTTACTTCTCCTGCCTGTGACTGATTATAGAAAATAAAGTTTGCAACTTTACTAAATCTTCAACCTCATCAGGATCTAATAAATAACGAAACAGCAAAAAAAACATCAAGAAAGAAAAAACACAACAACATCGTACCTAGAACGAACTGAAATCATAAACCATGAGCAGTGAGACGAAGAAACATAATAGAGAAACAAGGAAGATAAAAACCCAGGAGGAGAATCAATCATTAAAAAGTGATGTGATGATCAAAGAATAATAAGTAATAATAACAAAGACAAAGTACCTGAACATATAACATAAAAAAGACAGTCAAAGCAAAAAATGATAAAAATGAAGAAAGACCCTTTAATTTGGCCCTGACCTCAACATATCAATAATGTCACAAATAAGATGAGATCCCTGTAAGAATCACAGTCAATGGTATATTAATCATTGTAAATATGGATTTGAGATCCCTTCTATCCAAAGATCTACAACTATGATTTCCTTCAATCTCTCTGTATATAGTTAAACAGATACGTGGGCTAGCTACAGGTGAAAACAACATGGAAAAGCTACAACATATTATTGATCAACTAAATGGTTAAATGGACCGAACCTCCTCCGTTGTACTACGAGCAAAACTTTTTTTTGAATGCAATGCTATTTTTCTTGGTTTCTTGTTTTTCTTTCATACTTCTATTTTCTAAGTCTTGGAAGAGTACAATGGGAGCTTTCTCAAATATCTGGTTTTGTGAAGATTTTTTAAAGTTTTTGGCTTCATGGTTCAGAAAAGATAGGAATGCTATTAGTTACTTGAATTTGCCTCTAATGAAAAAGCCTGTTGAGTCAAACACCAAACCTTAGAATCAAACCCAAAAATGGTATTAGTACCAAATTTTTGCTCAAACACCAAACCTTAGAATCACCATACACACCTATATAAATCCTCATACAACATGGTGTAGAACATTTATATTTCCAACTAATTCAACAAAAAAATCTCAAATAAACAGAGAAAACCCAAATCTAACAGAAAGTACCCAAAGCAACAACAAAAACAAAATTAAAGCCCAAAAACACACAAAAATTACAGATTATACAAACCCAAAAATAGGGAAGATGAAACATCTGTAGAAATAACATTACACAAAGCCAAAAATAGGGTAGAAGAACTTACTATAATCAAAGATACTTGTCGATTGTTATGCCAGAGTGAGTGATAGAGATGCCTATGCCACTGCTATAGGGAAAAAAGTGAGGAAAATCGATGAAAAAAAAAGGGAAAAACGAGGATTGAGTTTTAATCTTACAAATAGAATGAGAAATTCATACAAAACTTTTGATTTTAAGAAAATTAAAGTAGAAAGAAGCATGAAATTTCAGTTAACCTCTCAAAATTGAGACCATTACCTTGAGTTGTGGAAAAATGTTAGTGAGAAGTGGCGAGCTTTTGAGGTTTTGTTATATTTGTATTTTATTTCAGCCAAAAAAAATGAGCAAACAAAAAAAAAGTGTGGGAAATGTTAGCGCTAATTTTTTTCAGATGGCGGAGGTTTTGAGCCGCCGCTATGTACTTATATTGTGTCGGTTAACTAACCCCCCGTTATTTAATAAAATTTGCGGGGGTTGGGACTGATCCCCGCTATTAAACCACCGCAATTTAGGCCTTTTTTTGTAGTGACCGCATAAGCTATATCGGGTCTAGTAAACGTCAAGTATTGTAAAGCTCCAACAGTACTCCTATATAGAGTTTGATCAGGAAATGGAGAACCACCAGCAGTGGAAAGCTTGGATGATGATGAAGCTGGTGTGGAGACAGGACCACACGACCCCATTCGCACACGATTAAGCAGGTCTGTGACATACTTACCTTGTGACAAATGCAATCCTTCACGTGTCCAGTTAGCTTGAATACCCAAGAAATAAGACAATTTTCCCAAATCTCTAACAGCAAATTGAGCTTGCAATTTGGAAATGAGAGCTGCAATATGAGCAGAGTTAGAACCCAAAACCAGAATGTCATCGACATATTCTAAATAGAATAATTTCTCGTGGCATATAGAAGAGAGAACTATCAGTTTTGGATCCCACCAAGCCTAGAGAAAGAAGCACATCAGCTAAACGTTTATTCCACATGCGTGGAGCTTGTTTGAGTCCGTAGAGAGATCGTTTAAGTAAACAAACATGATCTGGACGAGTAGGATCAACAAACCTGGGAGGTCGAGACTCGAGACATATGTACAGTCTCATCTAAGTACCCATGAAGAAACGCATTGGAAATATCTAGCTGAGCGATGTACCATTTGTGAGACACAGCCAAGGATAGCAACAACCTTATTGTAGCCGGCTTAACCACTGGACTAAATGTATCAACAAAATCGATGCCCGGTCGTTGATGATATCCTTTAGCCACAAGCCTCGCTTTATAGCGATCCAATAAACCATCCTGTTTTAGCTTTGTCTTGAACACCCACTTACAACCAATTACATTTTGAGATGGCGATGGTGGAACTAGTTCCCAAGTACCATTCCGAATAAGAACATTATACTCCTCTGACATAGTGCGACGCCAGTGAACATCCTTAATAGCTTGCGAGTAGCAAGAAGGTTCCATTATTGCCGACGTTGGAGTCGCAGTTGACATTGAAAATGACTTCTTTGGCATCAATGATCCTGTTTGAGCTCGTGTGACCATCTTTTGCAAAGGAGGAGCTGCTGGTTGTAGCGCACCAGTAATTGAAGTGTCTCCAAGAGCAATAGAGCTCACCGTATCAGTAGATGGAGGATTTTCTTCAGTTCGAGTTGGTGACATCAAGTCTACACCATGAGAAACTTCATCATGTGAAAGCTGATCAGTAGCAGTTACGTGTCGAGGAATAGGATCAACATGTGACGAGGATGTGTGCAGCGGCACAGAAGGTTGCGGCAGAGTTGGTTGAATGCTAGAAGGGCCAACCAAAGGCTGCAAGGGTAACTGAACATTGAGAGGTTCTGATTTTGTATTGGTTATGGATGGAGGCACCACAACACCCTGTGAAACGAAAGGAAAAACATTTTCATCAAAGATTACATGACGAGAAACATAGAATTTTGAGGAAACTGGGTCAAAGCATTTGTACCCTTTGTGCAACTTACTATAACCCAGAAACACACACGGTTTGGATCGAGAAGACAATTTATCCTTGGTATGCCGATGGAACATTAGCATGATGTAGCAGTGCTCGACCAATTTCAACAATATGCCGATGTTTCTTTCGGCACAACCATTTTGTTCTGGGGTATATGGACATGAGGAACGCTGCACAATTCCATTATCTCTCAAGTAATTTATTAAGGCTTGATACTCTCCTCCCCAATCTGCCTGAAAACTTTTAATGGGACGACCAAAGTATTTTTCAACAATTTTACGAAATTGCATAAAAATTGAAAGGACTTCTAATTTTAATCGAAGAAAATAAATCCATGTATATTTGCCGAAAGATCAAAGAAAATCACATAATACCTATAACCTTCATTAGAAACAACCGGAGCAGGACCCCAAACATCTGAACAAACTAAGTCTAAAGGCCCGGAGGCTTCAAAACTAGACTCACGAAAAGAAATTTTATGACTCTTACTAACAGCACACGTAGAACATAAACTAGAAGATGTAAATGAAGGGACAATGACGCTAGACGATAATGCTTGGCGAACTGTAGGATAGGATGTATGAGCCAAACGAGCATGCCAAACCCCAAGGGACGCATCATAAGAAGCAGGTGCGGATGACTTCAACACAGGAAGGGAATATAATCCAGCTTTATCCTGGCCTGTATGCACAATTTCCCTCGTCGCCAAGTCCTTAATCAAAAAATGGTTAGGAAAAAATTCAATTGAAACTTGGTTAGACTTAGTAAACGAACAAATAGATAATAAATTTTGAGTAGCATTTGGAACATGTAGAATATCGTCTAGAGTGAACTTTTTATTAGAAATAATAACTGTACTTTTACCAACATGGGAAATAGGAAGTTTTGAACCATTACCTAACGTAACTTCTTCAGGCCCTTGATATTCAGAATGAATACCCAGGTTATTAAGATCAACTATGAGATGATGTGTGGTCCCACTATCCATTAACCAATCTTGAGCAGAAGAGGTTCTTGCTAAATTAGAGACAGGTGGTCCAGAAGCTTTGTTGCCAGTGTTAATCCTAGGAGATGGACACACGCGTGCAATATGACCTTTACCTTCACAATTGTGGCAAACAATTCCAGACATGGTTGAAGCTTGAGATGAGGTATTGGTTTGAGCAAAGTTCTGAAACCCACGATTTTGAGCCACGTCCACGAGTGGCAGAAAAGGAACTCTGAGTAAACTGTGTTGTAGGTGCAATGACAATATGGGCTTCTTCCCTTTTTAACTGCCGTTCTTCATTCAACAACAATCCATATAATGCATCAAAACTAATATCCTCTTGACGTGATTCAAGAGACCTTGTAAAAGGACGATAGTGTTATGTCGAGTAAGAGGCAAACCCAAAAATAAAGAAGATAAAGAACACCAAATTTTAACGTGGAAAACCCTTCAAATCGAAGGTAAAAACCACGGGATCACAAAGATCCAAAAAGCTCCACTATAACAATAAGAGGGTTACAAAAGTTCTCCAAATTGGCTACACAACAAGGGCCAAACACGGAGCAACAATAGCAACAAGAGCAACAACTAATGAATTGAAGAAAGAGTATAATCCACAAAACGAAGCTGCTGTTCAAGGCTCGAAATCAGATGCTACGAGCCTCCAAATCCGATCTATACCGTTAAAATCCAAGAACAAGATGTTATGAACACTCAGTCAAAATTTCAGCCCGATCCAACGGTTAACGAATCCGAAAACGTGATTTGAAGTTGGCTGGTCGGAATAAAAATCTGCAGCAAAACAAATACTTTTCTTCTCTTTTCTCTCTTGATGAAAGCTCTCTCTAAATCACTCTTATGTGCTTAAGTCTTTCAAAGAATTGTATCAATGAGCATAGAATAATTCTCCAAGGTTGTCCTATTTATAGATCATGAGTGGTGCTTTCTCTTAAAGCAAAAACCCACTCAAAATAGGAATAAACCGAATCCAATTCCAAATAGGATTGGAAACCAAAAGAGAATAAGATTAGGCCATTGGGCCTTTGGCTGGACAACATGGGCATGTGCCCAACAAACTCCCCCTCCAGCCAAGGGGCCAAATGTGTCTTCAAGTAAAGGAACTATTGACAGGCTTCATGCCTGCCAATTTTCTACAAAATTCATGTTTATCTGCAACCACCGCCTTTGTCAACATATCCGAAGGATTTTCATCAGTGTGTATCTTCTCAACCTCAAATAATTTCTCTTCCACAGCCATTCTTATCCAATGATACTTTCTATTTATATGTTTGGTCTTAGAATGAAAAGTGGAGTGCTTAGTGAGACAGATAGCACTCTGATTATCACAAAATAAGATGTACCGTGGCTGCTCAAAGCCAAGATCATTAATAAACTCCTTCATCCATAATAGTTCTTTGGCACCTTCTGTGACAACAATATATTCGGATTCTGTGGTGGATAGAGCTATGCACTTCTGTAGTCTAGATTGCCAAGAAACAGCTCCCCCTGCAAAAGTGATCAAATAATCGGAAGTGGATCTTGAATTTTCAAGATTGCCTCCTAAATCAGAGTCTGTGTAACAAACAAGTTCAGGCTTGCCATTGCCAAAGCACAGCTTCAAATCTGCAATACCTTTTAAATACCTTAATATCCATTTTACTGCATCCCAATGTTCTTTTCCAGGATTGGAAATGAATTTGCTAACAGTGCCAACGGCATGTGCAATATCTGGTCTAGTGCAAACCATAGCATACATCAAGCTACCAACGGCAGAAGAGTAAGGAATACGAGACATCTCCTTTTTCTCTTCATCAGTAGATGAACTCTGAATAATACTCAATTTGAAGTGTTTAGCAAGAGGGGTACTAACCACTTTTGCATCTGTCATATTGAACCTCTTGAGTACCTTCTCAATGTATTGCTTTTGGGACAGAAATAACTCATTTCTATCTCTGTGTCGGTGGATTTGAATGCCCAAGATTTTCTTTGCTAGCCCCAAGTCCTTCATCGCAAACGATTTGCTCAACTGCTTCTTAAGGACTGCAATTCTGGATTTATTCTTTCCAACAATAAGCATGTCATCCACATAAAGCAATAAAATAGTAAAATCATCATCAGAGAACTTCTGGAAGAATACACAGTGGTCTGAAGAAGTTTTCTTGTACCCTTGTTCTTCAATGACAGATTCAAACTTCAAATACCATTGCCTTGGAGCTTGTTTCAATCCATACAGGTCCTTTTTCAATTTGCAGACATAATTTTCTTTTCCTTTAGTTACAAAACCCTCAGGTTGCTCCATATAAATCTCCTCATCTAAATCACCATGAAGAAAAGCAGTCTTGACATCCATCTGCTCAACCTCTAAATCTAGACTTGCGGCTAAGCCTAGAACCACACGAATAG